GTAAGAGACAGGGTGGAGAAGAATTAGACAGTTAACAATAGTCATTTCTGTATTCTCGTCAACACTATAACTAAAGCAGACTGTTTTGTACTTGATCTGTACGGTGAATTTAATTGTTGAACTCTGCGTTTGCATAGTAATAATTGTTTTTGAATATATCAGGTAAGGTGCGTTGGCAGGAGACATTTAGTTCGAGTTCCGAGCTTCCTGTATTATAGTTCTGATAATGTTAACTCGTGGTCAATTGAAAAATAACCCAGAATTTATAGACGGCAGTCAAACAGCAGCAGATATTTTACGAAAAAATTTTGACACTTCAGTAATTGATGAAGATAACGAAAGTAATGTCGAAATTATGAATTTATTTGATGAAAATGCACAAGAATCACCAACGTACAAACCAAAAAGATTTATTAGAATGGTAGGTAATCTTTAATAGTATTTCTACTTGATATTTAAAAAGGCATCTGGGTATACTAAGCTATTGTAACTGATGTGCAATCTCTTTAGGATAATCGAAATTCAAATGATACACAAATTGATACACAATCTACGGCCTCTTCGTCTTCGATAACTAAGTATGTTCCGTCGGGTAATGTTGAAGTTATGTCTAGTGATCGGAAAAGACCAGCAGTTGTAATGGATGGATTCTATTATAATCACCATGTATCTAACAAAAGTAAAGCAATTGATACATATCGATGTCGTGCTGGTGGTTGTGGTTCTACTGTATCGATTACTACATCGAATAATAAATTTGTTAAATGGAATTAAAAGTCTCATTTACATGGTCCAGATCCTTTAAAAGCACAATTGAAAGTTGTTCATCATGAACTGATCGAAGAACTTCAACGTAATTTTGTTCCAATATCACACGCTATATCTTCGAAGTTGTCTAAAACAAAATGGTCTGAATCAAAAAAAGAATCATTACCACATCCTGAGAAATGGCGTAAGTGTGTTTAGTTTTTGCACTTTTAACTATTTCGTATTGAGCTGTTATCACAGTTTTCTGCGTTTTTTATCTATTGCAAGACGCGGTATATTAAAATTAAGACATCGTAAGTTACCACCTATTCCAAAGACTGAAAATTTTACCATTCCGGACCAATTTACCAAAACACGTAACGGTGAATTGTTTTTGATACATGATACTACACATTCAAGATTAGGTGGTCGACTATTGATGTTCTCCAGTCCAGCTCAGTTGAAGCGGCTTTTTAAATGTGAAATTCTGTCGTGTGATGGAACATTCTCATCGACTGCCAAACCGTGGAAACAGTGCTATATTATCATGGGGAAAGTTGGTGATATCCGTAAGTTTAAAACAATGTGTGTTTTTTCCTTGCCAGGGTCCCATTTAATCATTAATTTTTTTTGTTTTATAGTTGTACCATTAGTTATCTGCTTGACTATGTGTCGCACAAAAACATTATACATGAAAATATTAATGGTTTTGGATGATATAGCTGTGAGCCAGAATACAACATTTTTACCATCGAGTATATTATCTGATTTTGAAGATCCGTGGATTCAGGCGGTTACAGCAGTTGTAAGTTCAAATTTCCGTACTGTCTGCATTCGTTACTTAGGCACATTTTTACTATATCTTTTGTAGTTACCATTGACAAAAATTACAGGATGCTCATTTCACATGAATCAAGCCATCTACAGAAACGTTCAATATCTAGGTCTTGCTGGTGCATACAAAAATGAACCTGGTATACAGACAGTGATCAAGAAACATATGGCTTTGAGTTTTCTACCAGAACAGTATCTAAAAGATGGAATTCAATTAGTTAAAGCTGAAACTAAAAAATTTCCTGAATTGGTACAATTTTCTAAATATTTTGAACATACTTGGCTACATGAATTTCCTCCAAAACTATGGAATGTTGGTGATCTGAGTATTCGTACAAATAACAATCAAGAAGGTGAGTAGTAATGAAATCAAAACCTATATGTTTTAAAGCGCTTGGTTTGTGGGGGCTCACTTACAAGTCTATACCTATCTAATGGGTATATCCCTATCTTTTAGATCTTGCTGTATACAGAATTTTTTTTCATGAGTACTACTGTCTGTAAACAAAAATAATAGGGATGATCATTTTTTGAATAATTTAGAGGGAGATAAAGATAGAGGCCTATGGTTTTCAGTTTTGAAAACTGAGAACGTCAGCGATACGTGAAAACATAGGTTATCGACCACTGTGAATCTTGTGGCTGTTGTTTTCAGAACACAACGCAAGAACGGAGTGAAAATCTATACTACGTGAAATTAGCTGTATTTGGCTATTTTTATCAAAAATCAAAAAATGCATAACTCAGTCAAAATCGATCCAGGCTGCTTCAGAATATCAAGATAGGCTCTATTTTATCTGCAGTGTACCGTAGACCTCAATAATGTTGTAAAAGCTTGAGTTGATCTTAAGTACAGAATCAGATTGGGCGAATAAAATAACGTATATCACATAGCGTTATAGCAAAATTTGTCTGCTTTCACAATCTGAAAATCGCAGGTCGCTGACTCTTTTCTAGAAAAAGTTATCTGGAAAATAGCTTTGACTATCGTGTTTTGAAACGGATAATAATATAGGTTTACACTCGGTTCTTGCATTTTGTTCTGAAAACTTACACGGCCACAAGATTCAGGGTGGTCGATAACCTATGTTTCCATGTATCGCTGACGTTTCGAAACCTAAAGGTAGAGGAGTCATAGTGCTTCGGGAAGAATGTCTGTAGCTCTTGAAGCAAATAAAAGTGAACTTTAGACCTCGTTTTGTAGAAGGCACTTTGAACTATGTATGTATGAAAAAATATCGATAGAATTCTATGTGTGATTTCAAAACTCTAAGCTAGTTTTCCGAAGATCCTCTGGAAAACCACCTTCGGAAATTTTTCAGAAAACCGATTTTGCTTGTGGAAAGATAGCTTACCTGGTTTTCAAAACTGAAAAGCACAGGTCTCTATCTTTATTTTTCTCTGAGTTATTCAAAAAATGGTCATCCCGATTATTTTTTTTACAGACAGTAGTTAAGGATATGCCTGTCTTGTAGGTATAGACCTGTCTTTTGGGTATATCCCTGTAATATGGCCACACCTGGCAACACTGTTCTGATCTTTCGTTCTTGTAGGATTCAATAATCGTTTCAATTGTCATATGCAACAGAAGAGACCAAATATTTGGTATTTTATTCAAGTCATTCAAGTGGAGGAATTCGATGCCAGTCAAACGATCAATGCAGTTGAAGCTGGTTCATACACATATTCAATCAAAAAGAAGAAGAATGTTGAGAAAGCTGCTGCTAAATTACAACAAATTAAAAGTTTACATGAAAAATTAATTGCAAAAAGTATGAGTTTGGATGATGTATTAACAGTATTTTCACGTATGGTTGCTGAAGACCAGGGAGCCAAAAAGAGAAGACTCAAGCAAGAAGTAAAGGCCAAAAAACAACAGCAGAACACAACAGCCAAAAGATCTAGATCAGCAGCAGCTGCACATACTCGTACTGGACGTCGTAATTATGATTGATAGAGAGGTATTTGCCGTACAGACAATTACGTAGAAGAGAAGTGGTGCTAAAACATTTGCACGTAGTGATGCTAATGTGAAAAAATACAGTGTGTACTGGTAAATGGAGGAGTCAAGGGGGAGGAGGCGGGGTTCCTAACTAATGAGAATCAATTGTTGTAGTGTTTATTTTTGTTTTGTAAATAGTCTCTGTCAGTCATGTGTTTAGAAATACAAATAATTTCTTATTCTCTTCAAATGACATTTTTTGATTCAATAGTTTTGAAAATTCAATCTCTGATCGTATTCATAGATTTTTAAAATACTCATCATGTTTTTTTGATCTTCATTTTTAGATAAAGATCAAAACACTTATTACTGTTCTTCTTTCTCACCATAGTTTAAGCAAATTACATTACTGTTAAATAATATTATTTATTTATTTAGTTTATCGTAAAAATTTATTATTATATTCAAAAATTTGCTTTGATTGTATTCTGTTAAATGGTTGAATCACCATTCACGAGTCAAAAGCCAACGCTAACAGCAACAACAGCCGAAACAAGAAAAGAATCATTCATTGTATCATTTAATAAGAAAGGTGATGATGGTAAAATTTTACATCCTGATTTGGGTAAGTTCAAGAACTTTGTAAATTCAGTTCTCTCAGCAGCATGACCTCCACGATACTTATGTACCCTAAGATACCCCTATTTACTTCATAGATTCAGTAATGGAAGCATTAAAATCGAGTGGTGATTACAATAATAAACTGTTTCCTGGTGTAATTGGTGCTAAACAAACTGCTGATCTCGTTCAGTTAATGAATGTTAAATTACCAAGAAATACGGATCGTTTGTTTTTAAAAACACGCAAAAGAAAAGATTATCAAAAAAACGAAAGTTTTACATTCAGCGTGATTCCAATGGTAACGATTCTGTTCAACTATGGTGTTATAATCCCGGTGGTCAAAAATGCGGTAAGTGTTCCACGTCGTATTTGTATTTGTTATCATTCACAAAGAATATATCATCAAAAAATCTATTTTTTCGTCTTTTAGGAACAAAACTTAAAATTCTTACATGTGATGAAGAAATTCAGCTGGTCTGTGGAATGTTTATACAAAAGTGTTTACGATACGGTCGTTTGACCGGTGCAGCAGACATTCACAGCATTCTTGCTAATGAAGACTATGATATCAGTCTTGATCGTGTTAAAGAAATTTTAAAAGTATTGAAGCCAGCTATTAATATTAAAGAAAACAAAGATTTTGTTGAAAACATTGAACGTGGACGGTGAGATTTTATGACGTCCTCTTGTACGTCTACAAAAATTGACAACTTTACTTGTTTTTTTCTGCAGAGTTGCAGTTTATAATGCTGATACCAAAACTATTTCACCACTTGGTTTAGATACAGATGATGAAGATGAATATAATTTAAATGAACAGCAAAAAGAAGTAGAAGAGAACGCCCAAGATAGTGATAATGGCAGCGATGAAGATGACCCACAAAATCCTGCTACGGTCAATCATACCAAACCACCACAACCACATTCTCCAGTTTCTGGTTCAAAGTCATCAATGCAGCCAAATGAACAGCATTGTCCTCCACAGCATGTTACTGCTCTAGTTCATGTTAATCCATCAGATTCAAGTGTTTTTACGTCATTGGATAATGATGACGATTTTTCCGGAACAGCAAATGGCTTCTTCAACAACTTCGATGTAAGATGCAGCTATAGAACAAACAGGAAAATTAAGAATTACTTGAACAATTCCGATTTTTTCGCAGAATTCTGGATTTTTCAGACAAAAAAGGCAAAAGTTAAAAAAAGTGGCTCAGACAATCGATAGAGCTCAAAAAGTTCTGCACATGCTCATTAGATTTTCCTTTTCAAAATCTTTCGATTGATATACGATAACAATATATAAATCCTATTTTAGAAATTTTATTCTGTCAAGAAATCTCGGAAAACATTCATTTTTTTTAGAAAACTCGTTTTTTTCCGAAACGAAAAAACTGACATTGGGAAAATACTTGATTTATATACAACCAATGGAGCTCTATTGAATGTACGACTCAAATTTCTTCATATTCACTTTTATTTTTATCGATTTTTTATCTCAAACGGTACAATGGCAGCGCAATTTACCCACATACCTGTAAGATAGGTACTCATTTCATAGGTGTACACCTTTGAGTTCCAGACTCGGGGCTTCTAAAACGTTTATTTCTCGCTTTCCTTAATTCTAGTATCAAAAATATCGGCAATATCGAGATAATTATTTAGGTGCGATACAGATACGACCACAGCATTTTGATCAACAAGCAGGTGGCAGAAGCAACAACTACACAGTTATGAATACTGTTAATTATTCAAATGTGCCACATCAAACAACAAATCTTTTCGGCTGTTTAAGCGGAAATAATCAGTCACATACAAGTACAACAGTTTTTCCATATCATCATCACTATCAATCCACAACAAATCCATTGAATTATCATGCAAATAATCATCTTAAACACATACAACAGCAAGTATCAGCATTTACACCA